CACGAAGAAGCTTCACTATTCACCAAAAAGTAGTTTTTTGAAATAAATCACTTCTCATAGTTTCAAACTAAGGTTTTATTGATCTAGTCTAGGTTTCAGATCCACTTTCTTACACTCACATAACGCTAATGGCCGATATTGGGCTAGGAAACAGGTTCCTCGTCTAATATCGGGCACAGTTCCAATTTCCGGACATAACGATGTAATTTCTAGTGGAAAATTCGTGTTGATATGGCAATTTATTTTAAAAAAGTAAATAAATAATATAAAGTTTTTTTTTGTGTATTTTCGCAATGAAAAAAATGAAGACAGGTAATTTATGCCGAGCGGTTAGATTTAGCCTACGCTATTTTATCTAACTTTAGGTTTGAACTTGGTTAAATTTAGGTATTTTTCAGTCTATTCTATACAAAATATAATTATATTAGCATCCATTTTGCAGTCCCAATGCCAATTAAATATTGACTAGTATCAAACAACAGATAAACAACACCATAGCAATAACAAACTAAATTATATTTGATGTGCAACAAATTTTATATGACGACGACAATACAAGGTTATCGCTAACGTCGATCATCGAACGTCTCTGCCAATCACGCGCGCGTTGCTATAGCAACCGCTCGCGTTTGACAGCCGAACTGCACGACGTGACCTTGCTAGGGCGTTTACACGTCAATGAATTATTGATTTAATTTCATTGAGATTGTCACACGTGATTTATTGGTGTATTTTAATCGTTTGTAATTAGGTAAGTGTAATAGGTTAATAAAGTGATGAATGATGGATTGAATGAACGTTTTGATAATATCAAATATTGTATACATGGACAGACAAGTTGTTTATAAGGTGCCATTGCTTAGAGCTTCAATTCTTTGACAGATATGAGTTAATATTCGAAACCATTAATACATTTGATATAAGTTTCTGCTTACGACATTATTTTCGAAAAGAAAGCTTTAAACACCCAGTGATTTATTACCAAAACTGTGACAAGATTTCCACTGCCTCCCACAGCCTCCCCAATGACTAGACATCGCGAGGTTGGAAGCGACAGTCATATAGCTACTACTATCTCCGACCTTTATTAGATCATCTATAAATAAAGCATATTTACTCAAAACAGTATTAATATTTCAATTCTCCGTGATTTATTCACAATTCAATTCATTTTCATGATCATTGCCAAAAACATCAACAAATAAATCGTTTAAATCGTCCTTATTGATATCAAAAAAGTACTTAAAAACGAAAAAAATAAACAAACAAATAAATAATTCAAAATATTTATCTCTGTCGTTAAATTTAAGAGCCAATTTGAACGTATGATAGTGAATCTATACTTTTTATTAATGTTACTAGCTATACCCGCGGTTTCACCCATTTTGCTCGGCTTCTATAAATCGTAGCGTGATACCTTAGTCTATATATGTTTCCTTTTTTGTCCTCTATAAATGCACTATCCAAAATAAAAAAGAATTATTCAACTCAGATCATTAGCACGTTCTACGTTTTGCAGGCAGATTGAAAATCATAGTTTAAAGAATCTTATTTATTACAGAGCGCTATTACGCCCGCTTCTCATGCATGAGAGTTTGAAACCTACCAACGGCAAGTACCAATGTGACTTTTTCCGAATGTGGTGTCGTGTCATATCCCTGATCACGTCGCCTCATGCCGTCGCCGATCACATCCCTGAGGACACGGCGGTGCTCAGCCCATGCAGGGCATTCCCCAACTATGTGTTCCACCGTGTCCTCAGGGCGGTCCTGGGCAGTGATGACACTCGGGGGTTTCCTCCCGCCCTATCAGACACAGGTACCTCCCGAAGCTCCCATGTCCGGTGAGGACCTGCGTCAGGCGGTAGGTGGGGATGCCGCAGCGTCTCTCAAGCCACTCCTCAAAGAGGAGACTTACCGCTGCAACGGCAGCGAGCCCAATAATAATATGGATACGCTTCAAATACAACATGCTATTAAAGATGCTATCACTGACAAACGGTGAAGGAAAACATCGCAAGGAAACCTAAGCTTATAATTTCTAATTATAAGTTTGTAATCGCCAACTCGCGTTGAGCAAGCGTGGTGACTGATGCTCAAACCTTCTCCGTGTGAGAAGAGACCTTTGGTCAGCAGTGGACACTTATAGGCTGTTGATGTTGTTGGTTTGATGATTACAGAGCGCTGTTATCCAGTCGCTGATAGTTCATTGCAAAACCGACGGGAAGAGGGTGATGAGAAATGAATTCTACTCCGTCGTCCCTATACGGCATAATATTAAACAGGTCATTTTAAAATGGCGGCGGCTCAAAACAAGATGGTGGGATATATTTAGCGCGGCGGGGTATCGGCCTCGGCCGTGACCCCGATGTATGAAACAGTTCATGAAAAGTCATGAATTTATCTTCCAGATATGTACTTAGTGTTTATTTTTGGTCTTGTGTTTGAAATTAATGTATTGTTTCTGCATCTGTGTTGTTCGTTGTTAGCAAATGAACTGTCAACTGTAAAAATACTAAATACTTAAATTGTATGCTAGTTTGTAAGACCACTAAGACTAGCATTATATTTTTTTCACATATTAATAAACTCAATTGTTTATGCTATTAGGAGCAAAGGTGTAGAATGATCACCTGATGAGCAATAAGCTGGGGGCCGGAGGCTTACTCTTGAATCCAAGTCCGATCGATCTACTTTGATATTGTAAAAATTCGTACCTACTCTTGAGTTGCAACACTAGCGCCCATTGCGTCCGTATTGCGTGGATATTTCATGAACTAAATAGTATTGAGTTTAGCTTTATATTCCGTACTCTGAATGCTATTTTAACAGCTACGATAGGGGTTGTATAGTTTTGACATTGAATAAATTGAATAAATATTGTGATTTTATTGGATTGACATTGAGATTGGTTTTAAGAGTAAGCTCCCTGGAAAGCCATGCAACCACTGCTGCCGAGGGCCGATGGACATTCGCATCACTAAAAAAGTCACAAATGTGTTGTCTGGATTTGTAAAAGAGTTCGCTCATTTTTTGAAAGTTTCATGATTCTCAACGACTTAAAAATACTAGGTGCAAGTAGGTTTTTGTTTTTTTTTTAAGGGGGCTAAATCATCGAATGACTGCTCCCGCCTGGGTGAGGTGCAAGTAGGCTGCGCGACATCGCCGCGGCCGCGCACGCTGCTCATGAGGAAGAACCCCTCTGTGGTGACGTGAGTAACCCGCGATTTTTAGTTAATTTACTATGTCTCACGATGGTTATTATAAAACTAGGTGCAGATGTTCATTTCATAGTTTTGTTGTGCTAGTCAAAACAAAAGGTATAGTTAAAGCATGTTTGGAAATATAAATAGTTGGTACAATTAAATTGTTTCCGCTATAAACTTCACAGTGAAGGGCCATTGATATTATTGCTATTTATTATTTCCTCTAGGTCTTGTTTTGTAAATAATTTTCATAACAATATCATAAAAGTTATGAACATCGTCGTTAATGAAGCTACAAAACATCATGTCAAAGAAAAATTAAAGTTTCTAATTAAATCGAAAACTACTTACACAAATACGTAATCTTACTGATTCTCAGAGAGAGACTCGCAGAAACTATGGAACGCCAATTACTACGATTCCTACATACCTCTTGAGCTTCATCAACAGTCATCACTCTTTTAATGCATGCTCGTCGGTCAAGGGTAAGTACCTACTTTTAATTTGCATCAAAATGAAAACTTAATTACGAAATGGGAAATGAGAAAAACAAATAGCTATTATTAAAAATGTCTCAATCGAAACACAGAATTCAAAACAGATGGTATTTACAAACACTGCCCACGCATCTATTTCTGTCGAACCGTTTTTGAGATAAATCATACATAACCTAAAATTCGATATTCAACGAGAATATAATCTTAAATCATTGACGTCATAGCTGGTAGCATCCAAAGTGCTGGTGCAATAATAAAATTGAAACCTGCAACGTTTGACTAAGGACTGATTTTTCAATCAACCGTAATTTTAACTCGTCGAGTACCGGTTTTGTAGACACAATTATAGAACAATAGGTTGCGGTCACCGGTGACCGCTTGGTGTTTGACAGTTTAAACTGTTTTTTTTATGGCATAAGCCGGTTAACGAGTAGACGGATCACCTGATGGTAAGCAATCGGCGTTACCCATGGTCACCTGGAACACCAGAGGCGTTATAAGTGCGTTACACACACGGGTGTACGAAAAACGCGCACCGATTGGAAACTTTTTCTGTGATATATATTTTCAAGTTTGCAACCCGTTCTTTATTTGATTGAACAGAATAGTTAATTCGCTTTTCTATTAAAATATTTACCCGTGTGCACGAGAGGCGCGTGAGAGGATAAAACTGTAGAATAAAATTGACTTTTTACAGTTTGTAGTATAGAAGAATTGTCAAATGTTCAAAGTTATTCCTCAGTTCAAAATCTGGTGCTGAAAAAATCGGCCATAAGATCTAGATCCGACCAAAATGTAGCATATCAACTACCTAGACTTACTTCCTGAACCCTGAGGAAAAGGGCAGAATTTCATCTTTTTGTGCACTATTTCAGACTATTTGAAATTAACTAAAATTCGCGGGTAGGTAAGTGAAATTTTAGAAAAATCATATTACTAGTTAATAAAGTAATCGCCGATCTGAGACAAAGCTCAAGATACTTCGCACGGCAGTCTCGGGTAGTCACGGTTACGTACGAATGAAGAAAGGAATTAGAAATATTGTGTTAGGTTTGGAAAAATTTGAATAATTACGAAAATAAATCTAGACTTATCTTTTATCTCTAAAAAGATATAACTAATTTCACACTTCATATAAACCACGGAAACAAAGACGCTTGACAAAAAGAGACAAAAGCTCGCCCATTTTCAAATAATAATTCGTCAAAACACACACAATTTCGTTCGTATTATTATTAATAGCACCTGTAATATTACGAAACATAGTAGTAGAATAGTTATATGTATAAGAAACTCACCTTTTCACCACCTGACGCCAACAAAAAGAAACACAAAGGAAAAACACACAACGATCTTTGTCTTCTTAAAAATTGGCGCGCGATTTCCCGCGCAGTCACCTGTCAAACTACAAAAATATAACCTCAAAATATTGACTGACAAAAATCAATCGATTAATTGTAATTATTTGTTTTTGTTTTGTTAATTCTCGTTGAAAAAGACGTCCGTACAGTGAAATTGGCGATATTGAACTGTTGTCGAGACGTATAAATGTAATTGGAGGGTTTCCAAATTGGCTTTTGGCCAAATACGAAGTGCGTTGCGTCCGGTGGTGTAGGGTAGATGGGGCTTTTATCGTCTATCGGTTCTGAACTTTGAACCGATATGACGTAAATGGAAATTATGATCTGGAAATTCTTTTTAATGGTTTTTTTGCAGGATATTTGTAATGTTACCTATTGGTGTGCAAAGTAAGGAAGCTGTCGTATAAGTCTGTCGCTCATACATAACATAAGATAACATCACGCCTTTTATCACCGAAGGGGTAGGCAGAGGCGCACATGACTGCACTTAATGTTACTATACAGTGTGCAACTCACTTTTCACGATTTAAAGTCCCATGTAATAGGCGGTAAGCCTATTGCCATATAAAGGGCACGATTCCAGGCATCGTGCTACTACTGGGATTTTGTTTAAAAAGCTCTGTAACACTTTGCCCGACTTAGGAATCCGAGGAACCCGAGGCCTCCTTGCCCCGGTTGTTGCACTTGGGACCACTCGGCTAACGAGACAGTTTATTTAGATTTAGTCAGGCATCTAGCACGCAGGTTCTATTATATGTAGACCTGTAAACACAAACTTAGTGTCCACAAAGAAAGGTTATCCCCCAAGTGGTCACCGGTGACTGCTCTCAACTAACTACATTATACTTTATAGACCTTATTTCCAATGTTCAGAGACTACTTTTGTATGAACAAATGACAATGACCAAATTTGTATGGAGCGTGGTGCCTTTTAATTTTTTTGCGGCAGTTGATCAAATGTGGATAAACTGATGCAGAATAACATTACAAACAAAAAAATGTATGGGGTCTTATATCAAAAACACAGTCCGAACCGAGTTAAGTCAGTTCAAAGATGTGAAAATAGTGGTATATTATTCCTGTTATTTTGTTGATGGTGACCGTACACAACACATATGTATTTCTTCATTTACTTGTCAGAAATATTTTGTAATTAATGTTTATAAACGATTTCAAGGAATATAGTAAAGCTTGTGGTGGGCTTATTTTTTTTTTATTTTATATATTTTTTTTTTTGTTATAAGGCCAAGGAATCAGAACAAAGTGAACCATTAACTGGCCACTGCTGAAATAAAAAAAAACATTTCGCTTGATTGGCTAGCGTATTCACTTTATATGTATACGGTTTAAGGCCTATGACAGATTTTCATGACCAATTTTCTCTCAGTCGAAAACCCGCAAAATACTTTACTGAGCCTTATCATAAAATGCTATGTTCGTTAACTGAGGCGTCGGTAGCGGATACACGAAAAAAACATTTTTCTGTCTACTTCTCCCGACTTACTTCCGATTAGTAACTAATATAACTACAGTTAATACTTATAATACAGTTAATAATCTATATCTAGCATAAGATTCTGTACAAAGATATCGTCATTCAGTCACCAAGTGATGGATTATATTTCGACTGATCACATTATATGAAAAAATTATGCGCTCATCTGACGTATAGTCCATCACTTTACAAAGTCGACGGTTTCCTTTCTTGAAAATATTATGCTAACTATAAAGTAGATGAGTCTACCACCAGGAGTCAAAGGCAAAAAAAAAACTTTTAGATTTTTGGACGGCTGCCACTACTCAACCCACCACTGGTACCTCAGCTGACGCTCATGGAGCTTCATGACACAACTCCTAGAAGCATCCCACAAATTATCGACTGAGAGAAAATAGCAAATAAAAATTAGTGCCTAGCAATATGGATATGTTGTGGTGTAATATGGTGTTCCTGTGCCCGGCGTACAGTGGCGCGCAATTTGAAGTTAGGAATTGTGACAAAAATATGAATAATTTGAATAAAAAAACCAAAGTTAAATGTTTGACTTCAGCTCTTTTCGACGCTCATAACTCAGTCCAGACTGAGATTTCCATATATGAGCCCATACACAATTTCGTTTGTAATGTCATTCTAGATAATATTTTCCATAAATCATCGACTGCCGCCAGAAAAAAGAAAGGCACCAATTTTAGTCAATGCCCTTTAGGGGATGATTTTCAACAGGTTCAAGCAAAGTTCTGTCACTACAATGTTTTTGTAAACAAAGTTAAACACGATATTTGAGTACAACTTTAAATTGAGTAGTCTCTTAGTATTCCTGCATCATACATCATTCATCATTCATAAGTCCTTCATTCAGTCATTCGAAAAATAAATCTTATACTATTATATAAAGCGAAAGAGTTTATTTGTTTGTTTGAACGCGCTAATCTCCGTAACTACAAGTCTGATTTGAATAATTCTTTTTGTGTTGGATAGCGCATTTATCGAGGAAGGCTATAGGCTATAAAACATCACGCTACGACCAATAGGAGCTGAGCAGAACGTGTGAAACCGCGCGGAAGTAGCTAGTAGTTACAGTTACATATTCCCTATACCGCATACAAATCCTTCCACCCTACTTTGCCAAACACCTTGCATCTCCCTTTGTATACCATTTGTGAACAAAGATTTCGCAGAGACAACGAACTTGTTGCTTACAATTGTAATTGTAATTTTATAAGACAAACGTTTGAAGTCAGGTTCAGATGTAAGTAACAGCTGTTAGATTTGATTTACCTGACAAACTGGACAAATTAGAACCATGATCTATTTCGAATATTCGATGATATTTATTTAATACTAGCGACCCGCCCCGGCTTCGCACGGGTGCAATATGCATGTATTATACATATAAACCTTCCTTAAGAATCACTCTATCTATTAAAAAAAACCGCATCAAAATCCGTTGCGTAGTTTTAAAGATCTAAGCATACATACGGACATATAGCGAAAGCGACTTTGTTTTATACTATGTATTGATGCTTCATGCACAAAATGAAAGGAAGAAAGAAAGAGTTTTAATTGTTTTAAATGTGGGAGAGCCATGCTTCGGCACGAATGGGCTGGCTCGACCGGAGTGATACCACGGCCGAGCAGAAAACCGACGTGAAGCAACGCTTGCGTTGTGTTTCGTCGTGTGATTTAGGTTACCGGACGCCTAGCTGCCTCCCCCCTTCCCCAATCTCCCTAATCCCCGAATCCCCAACAATCCTCAAACTCCTAATCCCCAAAAGGCCGGTAACGGACTTGAAACGCTTGGTGTTCCAGGTGTCCATGGGCGACGCCGGTTGCTTACCATCAGGTGATCTCTATGCTCGTTTACCATATACCATACCATAATATATGCCATAAAAAAAGAAAGAAATAAAAATCTTTATTTCACGCCAAAAACAAGTGACGAGTACAAATATTAGTAGATGGATATATGTTCACGTCCCAAGTCTGCCGTGAAATGGGACCAGTTCAGCATGTACAAATATACTAGGTGGACTTAATGCCGCTTCTATGGAGCCGCGGAAGACTTAACGGATTACCGGGGCTCCGGCTCGAAGTACAGGAGTAGGAACGGGGTGGTTTTTAGTCAGTAAGAGTCTGACACTCCCTCTCGCCTCACCCGGGCGGGAGAAGTCGTTGGATGGTTTTCTCCCTCAAAATAAAGGCAATATATCGATATCAACTTTTTTATGATCAGACGAATCACCTGATGGTAAGCAATCGGCGTCGCCTATGGACACTTGGAAGACCAGCGGCGTTACATGTGTGTTACCGGCCTTTTGGGAGATTGGTTGACTAGTAGAAAATGCCATATGACATTAAGTTCGCCTTATGTGCCACTATTTAATCAAATTAAATACTAAATAGATAATTTCTGACTTATTAATAATATGATACCTTTAATTTCATCTTTCATGACATTCAATAATTATAATTATTTCATTTCTTAATTTATTGGTAATGTATATTGTATGAGGTTGTATAAGTTAAACTTGTAGATAAATTGATTAGGAAATACTTGCATGCCATAATGGCAAAATGTGGAGAACCATACCATAAATATTAAACACCTTTTGTATATTTTATAACCCATGTTTGCAACCGAAATAAATGATTTGATTTGATTTGAATTTCTTTCTATTCGCTTGCCTATCCTCCCACAGACTAGACCGTAATCTAACGAGACGACAACGTGACGACATTACAAACGAGATGACGTCGTTGCAATTATACAACGGTTAGCATCGAGTTAGACGGTGACGGCATTCTGTAAAGGTGAATTACACTGAGAGATTTATTTAATGACATAACATAATATCACGCCTTTTATCCCCGATGTAGGCAGAGGCGCACATTACGGCACTTGATGCCACTGTACAATGTAACACCCACTTTTCACTATTTATGTTATGAGTCCCATGTAATAGAAGGTGAGCCTATTGTCATATACCGGGCACAATTCCAGATCCCGTGCTACTACTGAATTTTTTTTCAAATACCGCATAATACTTTTCCCGACCCGGGAATCGAAAACCCTAAACCCTTTGTCCGGTAGTCACAATTAATAACGTAGTTAAAACAAATCCAAAGTCGATAAAGACAGCAATTTGATATCAACGTTAACAAATCTTGTCAATGTATTAATTTAGGTCCAAATTAAGAATGTAAAAGAATAAAGTAGGTAACTCCGGAATCCTCAATAGTCGACTTCGTCTCGCTGTTGTCCGGTATTTATTGGTATTCCAAATTCTCCAATAAACTCGTGACCAAGGTACGTCTATTGGAATTCATACTCCCATTATGTGAATATTATGATTTGAGGTTCTGTGTGTCTGTCTGTTCTTTTTCCATGTCACTACAGAGCGTTATATTAGGGTAGACGACTAATTTTAATGTCCGTCTGGTAGATTATTTTAAATCATTACACACCTATTTTTTATTTTCTTACAGAAACGAATACTTTCCACGATATATTGATTTGAAATGTCGTGTGACGTCACTTTTATGTACATTTTATACGTAGAAATGACGTTTTAGCCCCACTCCTAAACTTTGATTCGTTTTATCTAAGTATTATTTTATTATATGACAAAATAAAAAAATACGTGTCTAGTATTTTTTAATTACCCAACTTACGAACTAATTAGATTTTTAATTTTCATACCCTGTCGTCATCCCAATTATGGAATTGAATGAGTCGAAAGTGACATGGTGATTCTTTATCACTTAGCTAGCGTTTTCGCGCATATTACCGTGGGATAAAAAGTAGGCTATGTTATTCCAGACTAGTCAACCCTTTTTTTATCACGGTGGAAATCCGCATGTGCTTCCCATGCCATGGGAACGACGAGGGGGCGTGCCGGACTCTTACCGGCTAAAACCACCACAGTGTTCCGCAGTGACCCGGGTTGCCCTTACGGAATCACCACACCCGGCAGGTCTCGACCCACCGCTATGTTTGCGGCAGGTCCCGCCACCTTAGCGGCCCTACTATAGTCAACCCCTGTTCCAAGTTTCATCCTGATTCCTTCCGCCGTTTTGACGTGAAAGAGTGAAAAATAAACACAGAAACTTTCGCATTTTTAATATTAGTAGGAAGTAGGATAACGCCTTTAATCCTTGAAGGGGTAGGCAGAGGTGTACTATACAATGTAACACCCACTTTTCACTATTTATGTTACGAGTCCCATGTAAAAAGGGGTGAGCCTATTGCCATATACCGGGCGCAATTCCAAACTCCGTGGTACTACTTAGATTTTTTTTTAAACCCAGTAATACTTTGCCCCACCCGGGAATCGAGCCCGATACCCTTGCCAACGAGGCAGTCAATGCAATTTAAAGTTTTATTACAACCCTCATTCATAGGCTCAACAATAAATAATAACAAAGAAGTAAATATACCACAAATGTCGAAAAAATTACACTTCATAATCCTACAACCGAAACCACAGGACAACATCAAGTGTACCAAGAAAATTAATTGAAAAATTCCTTACGTTTTGCGCCCGTTGTGTCGCGGGAACATCCCTTGGAGACGGCATTATATTGCGGCATCTTGTGGGATAAACATCGCTGGTTGCTTCTCCATATTTCCAAGTTAATACTCAGTAACTTTGTAAGCTGATTAAGTAAAGGTAAGTGGGAGAGCTTCAGTGGTTTCTTTAAACTGTCAAACACCAAGCGGTCACCGGTGACCGCAACCTATTGTTCTATAATTGTGTCTACAAAACCGGTACTCGACGAGTTAAGTATGTTTTGTACAATTTTCTGTGTTGGGACGCAGTATGGTGAAGAGATTAATAAGTTTTCTATCACCTCTTCTCTTGCAGTGGGTGTTAAAAGATCCGTATACGTATTTGACAGAGACCGGCCTCTGAAAAAACCAACGTCACAGTCCACTGCTGCACTATGAGCCTCCTCTACATAAGAGGGGTTTGCCATAATCTCCGCAGGCAGGCGGGTTGGAGATCGCAGTATAAAAGGTTCAGGTTTATCAGAAAGCGCTGCTGCCCGGTTTCAATCTAATGTGTAGTCCGTTAGTTGGGTATACGACACCCATTGGAAGAGTAGCGGTGGTGACAAGTGTATTCTACTCTGCTATTTCTTTATATGTTCTAAATGATAATCTATTTTACAGATGGTGTTCACAAGACCTTCAGACATACCATTCCCCACAACTTGGCGTCGGTTCTCATCTGACAAGGGACCTTTAAGGATCCAGGACTTGACTGATGATCTTTTTGATGAGGCAGTGGAACTCCTGACTCGGTACTTCATGAGGGATGAGCCTCCTTGCAAATATATTGGTAAGATTGTTACGTTTTTATGGAATACGAGGGCAAATTGAGTGAGATTTTTCGGTGGATGTGCGGGGGAATTGCACAACTTGATTCCTTCTAGGCCTTTCCATCATCGTACCACAAGATAATCGGCGAAGCGTCATCGATTCATGGTAGAAGACCCACACGCACGAAGCGCTTCTCATTAAGCTTCCTTGTGCGTACTGCTAAGGAGCGAAATTCTTAGCCAGAGTTTGTATTTCCTGAAACCCTTCAGACCTGGGAGTCTTCAAGGCCCGAGTGAATAGGTTGCTTTGAGGACGACGTGCTCCATCGTAGACCGCATCATCGTGCACCACCAGGCGAGATAGAGGCCAAACGTCGGCCCAGAAAAAAAAGTAGCAGATGCATCTGATACCCGCAACACTAGAGATGTTACAACTTATAATTGTGTTGTCCGCTTTTACCAAGGAGATTCTTACTTAATTATACCTTGTATGATAATTGTTTCATTGCTCAAGGGACTTCTGTTCGAATGGTTGACCAGTTGTGTGCTATGTGATAGAAAGTGAGTTTACGGTCAAAAAATATAATTCAAGATTCTAGTCGACTACTTAGAAATTCGACAATTGTATAAAGTATAAACCAACTCAAGTGACGAACCCGAGACTTGCTACCAGGCAGTGTGGGATTTGTAGTATCATACATATATACATACATAAACCTCACGCTTATCTGCCATGGGGGTAGGCAGAGACTAAGGAACGCCAATTACTACGATTCTTACATACCTCTTTCGCTTCATTAACAGTCATCAATCTTTTCATGCATGCTCGTCGGTTAAGGGTACTTTTAATTCGGTTTAATTATTATATCGCCAATCTGGGGGCTTACTCTTGAATCCAAATCCGATCGTTCGACATTGGTATTGTGAAATTTCGTACTCTCTAGTTACGACACTAGCGCCCATTGCATCCGTATTGCGTGAATATTTCATGAACTAAATGGTATTGAGTTTGGCTTTATATTCCGTACTCTGAATGCCATTTTAACAGCTACGATAGGGGTTGTATAGTTTTGACATTGTATAATTATTGAGATTTTATTGGATTGTTTACATTGAGATTGGTTTCAAGAGTAAGCACCCTGGTCGATATATGTTCGTCTAGGGCACGCTCTACTAACGGTCCCATTCATATCTGCATTGTATATTTCTTTCGTAAATCTGTTTTAATATATCCTTTCTACTTTTTTTTGGGCCTTCAGGCTTAATTCATTCTGTCTCCTGCAGTAATTCACCAAGGGAAGTGGAAACTGTCTTTTTTTTCTTCTTCTCCTATAATATCTTCTGATTCACTTCGTTGCGGGAACCAAGACAGTTATTCATGTCCCTGGGACGTTGGACTTCAGTGTTCCGGTGTTTTCATGGTTGTGTCTACTGTAGATCGTGGCTTACAAAAGTTGCAGCGGTTTTGGAAGGGTGTGGCTGGCTTGTCCCTTTAAAAAAATCCTATCTACAAATGAATCCGTCTATTCTAGGTATCCAAAACTACCCTTCAGCGATGAAGGAGCTACAGAAACTCTGGCGGTCTCCCCTCAAGGAGCACCTGTCTCTGGTCTGCGTGGAGGACAATGATGACCAGCCTCCGAAGGTCGTTGGAGTCAACGTGCTCACTGTAGTCTGCAAGGAGGATAAGGAGGAGCCTTTTCATGTGAGTTTATTAGGAAAAAGTAATTTTAAATAAGGATATACTCAGTGAAATCAATTTCGTTTTCGTCCCGAAGTAAAATGGTTCTGTGTCGGTAATACAATAGTTTTACAAACAAATAACAATGTTTACAACAAAAAATAACTGGTGAACCAATGCAAAAAGCAAACTTCGAAAGCGCACACGAACTCGTAGTACATTATCAAAACATCACGCCATGTGATTCTCGAAGAGGTATTTTTCGTCGGGTGACACGTGCGATGCGAATAGTGCCTACAAATTTACGTCTAGTGTTTCATGTGCGTATTTCTAAGACTTTTTTAAACTATAAATAGACTTGTATTGTACTTAATTAAGGAAGAGCCATGCTTACACATAACTGGGCAAATAGTCTCGTCCGGAGTGAAACCGATGTGACACAACGCTTGCATAATCTGCAGCCGTATGTGTGAACTGCCGGTGGACTAATGACAAGGCAGCAATGACGTGTTCATGGGCTTCTTCGATTGCTTACTATCAAGTACCATCAAGCAAGATCACTGCATGATTGGTGCGGTGGCTGGGCAACCGAATGCCGCGCATCATGTCGCGGGTTAGATTCCCGCACGGAACAACTCATTGTGTGATCCACAAATTGTTCCGGGTCTGTGTGTCATGTGTATGTGAATTTGTATGATTGTAAACGCACTCACGACACAGGAGAAAATCGTAATGTGGGGCAACGTTTTTTTTTTAGAAAGTGATCCCACTCTTTAAGATTTCAATCATAAAAAAAATTTAACTTTCTAATAGTATCTGACCTACAGGTAACACCGCGCGGGAGCTAGTCCTCCTAGCCTTCATGAGCATTACAGCCAAATTGTAAACAACTTTTTCTAGACGGAAGACAAGATCTGGGCTCAACTCTTCGGTGCAGTGGACCTGGTAACCAGGTCTGTAGACGTCTTCGAGAGGTACGGCGTGGACAAGTATCTGACTGCGTACGGGCTGGTGGTGGATCCGAGCTGGAGAGGCTGCGGGGTTGGGAAGGAGCTGCTGTTGGCTAGGTGCGTATGATGAGAAAGATTTTTAATAGAGTGAGTGAGAGATGATTTTGGTTGTTAAATCTATTATTATATGATGTGAAGGCATTATAATATTACATAACGTAACATGTTATGTAATATTAAACATAACATTACGCCTTTTATCCCCGAAGGGTTAAGGGTGTACATTATGCCACTGTACAATGTAACCCTCACTTTTCACTAATTATGTTATGAGTCCCATGTAATAGGGGGTGAGCCTATTGCCATATAATCACAGACACAATCCAGACTCCGTGCTACTACGGAGAATTTTTGAACAAACCCATATGGTATGGTATTTATACTTTGCCCAACCCGGGAATCGAACCCGAGCCCCCTTGTCCGGCAGTCGCACTTGCGCACCACTCGGCGAACGAGGCAGTCAAGATTCTTCAACACCGCTTAAATTAATTTGTTCACGGCATCTCACTAAACGATTTGAACCGGGATTCGAACAGCTCTATAGAAACTCGCTGTCCAATTACAGACGATATTATGGATGCTTCTCCGCAGTACTATTCTGAAAATATTATATTAATATGCTGATTCGACCTGCGTGGTCCCACGCCCGTTTCTCATGAATGAGAGCGTGGGTGTGAAACCTACCAACAGCAAGTACCAATGTGACTTTTTCAGAGTTATATGTACTTTCTAAGATTATTTAGACACCACTGACAAACGGTGAAGGAGAATATCGTGAGGCAACTAGGCTTGAAACTAATTATAAGTTTGAAATCGCCAACCCGCAATGAGCGAGCTTGACATTTTCTTTTACCGGAGTTACCGGAGGCACGTCTTACCCCTTCCTCAATCTCCTGCTCGTCAATCCTCAAAACCAACATGTCAACGCACTTGTAACTCCTGGCCTAGTGTTCCGGGTGTCCTTGGACAGCACTGATTGCTTACCATCAGGTGATCCGGCAGTTTGTTTACCGACCTATACTATAGAAAAAGTAAATTAATCGGGTACTTGCCGACCAGTCAAATTCAATACGTTTTTCGAACTGTCAAAAACGACAGTTTTCTATGAATTTTGTACGAGATTGTGTATTGTGATGTCACGTTTTTAGCGTCAAACAACATAGTTATTTCATAAATATTTGCTGGAAAAATACTAAAATTAAGTTGGTCATAAAATCAATTAATGAAAGTGTGATTATTTTATAATATTATATAACAGTCGAAATAATTTATTTTTGATTAAGGTAAGTTACCCAAATTTAATAAGTTTTCGACATTAATTCACAATTTTCAGAATAGCACTGCGAGTCTATAGAAACTCAGCATCCAATTACAGATGATATTACGAATGCCTCTTAGATTCTTTAGTCCCGGGGTAATGGGATATTTATCGGGAATCCATCCCGGAATGCGGGATTGTGGCACGTCTCTATTTTGTGAAATAATTGATGTGTTTAATGAATCGATTCAGTATAATTGAGATTTATTTACACTAATATTATAAATATATAAGTTTCTTTCCTTGGATGATTAGATGTTCGTCCGTTAATCATGCTGAAACTACTGAAAGGATTTTGATGTTTGGTATACAGGCAGGGTGTGGGCTGACTTAGGTGGTAGGATACATTTTATCCCAATTAAATACTACCATGGGATAAAACCTACGGAGTCGCGAAGATCCTAACGGGTTACCGGGGCTCCAGCTCGAACTGTAGGAGTAGGAACGGGGTGGTTTTTAGTCAGTAAGAGTCCGACACTATCTAAAAAAAAACAAGAAAAAAAAAAATAAAAAAATAATTTAAAAAAATTAAAAAAAAAAAAAAAAAAAAAAACAAAAAAAACAAAAAAAAAAACAAATAAAATAAAATTAAACAAAAAAAAAATATAAAGAAAAAAAAATAAAAAAAAAAAAATAGAAAGAATAATATATTACAAAATAAAAAAGCAAAAATAAAAATAATTAAAAAAATATAAAAAAAAAAAAAAAAAAAAAAAAAAAAAAATAAAAAAAAAATAAAATTATATAAAAAAAAACAATAAAATATAAAAGATAAAATAAAAAATTATAAAACTAAAAAATAAAAAATAAAAAAAAAAAAAAAAAACAAAAAAACTAGAAAAAAAAAACAATAAAAAACAAAAAAAATATAATAAAAATAAAAAAAAAAAAAATAAAAATAACAAAAAACAAAAATAAAAATATAAATAGATATAAAAATAATAAAAAACAAAAAAAAAAAAAAAAGAGATAGAAATAAATTAAAAAAAAAAAATAGAAAATAAAAAAAAAGAAATATATAAATAAAAAAGAAAAAAAAACAAAAAATAAAAAAAAAAAAAAGAAAAAAAAGAGAAGAAAAAAAAAACACAAACGAACAGAAAGAAAAAAAAGATAATACAAAAGTAAAAAATAAAATAAAAAAAAAATAATAAAAAAAAAAGAAATAACAAAAAATAAAATATAAAAAATAAAAGAAAAATAAAAGAAAAAAAAAATAAAAAAAAAATGAAAAAAAAAAAAAATAAAATAACATAAAATAAAAAAAAAAAAAATATGAAAAAAAAAAAAAAAATAATAAAAAAAAATATAAACCAACACAAGAATAAAAAACTAAAACAAAAAAAAATAAAAAAAAATAAAAATACACAAAAAAAAAAAATACAAAACAAAAAAAAAAAAAAGTAGATCAGACAATGAGTTGCTCCGTGCGGGAATCGAACCCGCTTCACGTTGCGCGGCAGCTGATTGCCCAGGCACAGCGCCAACCGTGGTGTCTATATTCCTATCATAATTATGTTCTAGTACAAATAAATGGAAACCTAATATAAATCGAATAATTTATTAATAGGTAATTTGATTTTATTGATAAACAGAATAAACTATAACAATAGCAAGAAACTAAAATAACTACTAAAATACATATAATTTAAAATATCGTATAAAACTATAAAAACAAAACTTCAAAACTTAAAAAACGACCTGACGGTTCACCTGATGGTTTGCAATCAGCGCCGCCCATGGACATTCGCAACACTAAAGTCACAAGTGTGTTGCCAACGTTAAAAATGTAATTTATCCGTTTTATCCAGCTTATGGCGTTGCTTGCAATCGACTTTTACTTTTTTCTTTTCTTCTATATTATTTCTTGTTATGTGGTATATAGGTTGGACGCAACCCAAGTCTAATTCATCGTAGTATAAATGTTTGTTCCTGTTTGCTGGATTTGGGTAATAGGCTGCATGTAACACTTCATCAACTTCATAAACCTTGACATCAATTGTGTGTTGGAACAAAACCCCACTAATTAACATCCTCTCTATAATCTCACAAGAACCATGAGTAATTTTATTCCCCCAAATATTTAAAAACCGCAGAAAAAACGGTTTCTTTAATGTATTTAAAATGTCGATTATACCATTATCTGTCATTGTGTTGCGGGAGATGTCTAAAGCTCGGATTTTTGAGTATGGTAACCCGAAGCTTAGCGCTCTAGCCCCAATATCGTTAATACCATTGCCTGCGATATTTATGAATAATAATTGAGGTCCTTCTGCTAGATATTTTGCTATTAATTCAGCTCCGTAATCTCCAATTCTGTTAAAAGCCAGGTCTAAATATAATAAAGTTGTATTTTTTCTCAAACCCCTCACAAAGTATTCAACATCGTGGCAAATAAAATTATTTTTCTGAAAATGTAACTCAATTATAGTGGAGTTTCTTTCTAATAAAAACTCAATGTGATAGGCGAACCATTTCGATTCGTAATTATATCGATTGAAGATCGGAATGACTCGACTAAAGTCAAACACTTTTATTGTTTTGTTGCCCCCATGGTCGGCTCTTAAAGCTGTAATGATTTGAGCGATACTCGATAAATTTTGATTCGTTTCACCAATATCTAAATATTCCACAGATGTGTTATAAATTAAAAAATTAGCTAGTTGCTCAGTCCCTTTCAGACCAAAACGATTTCCATTGATCCGTAAGTATTTTAGTTTTAAAACCTTCGAATATTTAACGAGTTTAGCAATTGAGTGACGTGTTAGTCGATTATTCATGATGTTCAAGTTAATTATGCTGGATCGGCCTTTGATAAGAAGTTTTTTTAATAGTCTGAAGAAACCACGGTCTGTAATGTTATTGTAGCTTAAATCCAATCTTGTGATTCGACGTGAGGACTGTTTGACATACAAACATATTGCTCTCATGTCCGAGTCCTGAATCCGACGACGATATCACCCTTCGATGTCTTTTCCTCGAAGTATTAGATACCCAGTCCCATCAGAATTTCTTTCCGTGAATAAATTTAATCTGATCTGGTTTATTTCTGTCTTCAACAACTTCTCGTGTTCTTGAGTTATTTTGCCGAGGAGTCCAACGGTGTCGCAAAGGCATTTTGGTTTTTGACCCGGCTTCTTGTTTTTGAAGTAAGAGAAGTATGGCTGCATTGCGGTTAAAACCGTTAATAAAATAGTATACAAAAAATATTTATGCGTGTAAACTTTGCGGCTGTCAAAAATGAATTATACGACATACTTGACAGTTTGTTTTTTTTTACGCGGTGTTATGCTGTGTTATGGCTATAGTAAAACTATTTACTGTTTTTATCTACAGAATATAAAAAAGTTCCTAAGTACATAATACATTAATTCTTTTTTCTCCCCTTTTGCCTTTATTTATAAAAGCTACATTATTCTTTTCTTTCTCTCTATAATAATTATATTCTTATTATATACCCCTCAAAACTAGACATCGCTAGTCGCGGAGAACCGGGGCTCCGGCTCGACGTGCAGGAGAAGCAACTGGGTGGTTTTTAGTCAGTAAGAGTCTGACACTCCCTCCCGCCTCACCCAGGCGGGAGCAGTCATTCGATTATTTTCCCCATTAAAAAAAAGCTATTCGCTAACTTTGAATTCAAGGAAGGTCAAAATGACCTCGATCGTGGTTCGCCATGTCATTGCTTATGAGAATGATTATTCTTTCTTTCTACTCTTTGAAAGTTCTCACTTTGAAAGAAAGAACTCACTTTGAAAGTTCGAATTGACAGTACCAGAATAATAACATTTTCTTTTTTTGAAGGGGAGAAAATTAAATTATCCAATGGCCCCGCCCGGGTGAGGCGAGAGGAATCAGTCTCACCCGCGCGGCTAGCAGCTTATGACAGTCCACATGTCCACTGTTGGATTACAGCCGTCTTCTATATAAGAGAGTTATATCATCATCTCCATTCTCCATGCTTAGCGGCAACTTACAGTTTGAAAGGTTCAGGTTTATCTGAGACCGCTAATACCTCTATTCACTTGGGCTGCTCTTACGACATCCGTGTGGAGAGTAAGAGGTGTGATGACAAATCCTCTTTACCGGCACATGGCTTCAAACCTACCATAGATTAAACTAACAATATTTTATGTTACACAGGATTCCACTATGCAAGGCCCTCAACATCAAGGTAACAGCGACTGTCTTCACAGCGGGCGCATCTCAAGCAGTCGCAAAGAAAGCAGGCTTTGTCGATCTTTTTGAAATAACGTACGAAGAATTGGCTAAAAAAGGTTTTGTATTCCCTGGCATAGAAAAAGATACGAAATCCTCCAAATTAATGGCTTTGGCCATTGAGTAAAGTTTTTAAAACAATATTCGGGGTTGCTATCAGCATGGATATTTAATTTTCCACATTTATGGGGAATCGTTGAAGTAGTAAAAGCAATAAAGTGTATTATGATCTCATTATGGTACTTGAAACTCTGGTTTACCCACGGGAGAATGAGAAAAGCTCATGAGCAGCGTGCGTGGACCGTGCGGCGACCGCGACTTTGCGTAGTAAGCTGCACGATGTCGCCCTCTGTCGAAGAAGAGTCCCTCTATGACTCAAGACTTGTAAAGCTTTTCACATTATATCACATAAGTAAACCAACGTTTTAAATTAATTTAGTATATGCCATGATAACTATTTAACAAAAGATCTCATTATAATAGTATTGTAATGTAAGTTATAAGATAATAATAAAAATGTACCGCTTAAATTAAACCAAAGAAATGTATCTACTACTGTCCTATTAACTATTCTAGTCATTAGTTTACTGTTAATGTTGTATATTACATTATTTAAAGATTTAAAAATATATACGCTTATAAAAAATATCAAAAATATTAATATAATGGAATATTATTTAATCAAGCAAACTAATTTTGAAGTTTCATTTTTCTCTACCTTGTTTCCATTACCTACAGGAAGTAGTCAAAATATGGAATCCAATAAATTAACCTACTATAAATACATTCCAAAGTTTTCTGGTAGAATATTGTATGTATGTGTATTGCATAATTTATTGTTCTAAATCAGGTTTTGAAGAAAATGCATGGGCACCATTGAACAGTGCCATCTATTGACTATTGTTCAATATTAAGTAAGAGTCATCTATGTACATAAAAAGGAACTACGTGCGTCTGAAGTGTACTTTACAATATTTCCGATAGGTGGCAAGCGTTCACAATGTTTAAGTCCTAAGGATACTAAAATAATCTTGAAGTTTATTAGAAATTTTAGACAGCCTTTAAATTTTCCTATTTTTTTAGGAATATTGTCAACTTTTAATTTGATGTAGATGTAACTAGAAATTGTAAATTGTTGAATTGCGTAAGCAGGGAATTTTTACCCAAAAACTGGTAACGTTGAAAAAATGGCGACGCGTCCAAGTGCCAAAACCTGTCAAACGGTTGTTGACTTTTCTGGGTGTATCTCTTTCGTTCGCGCATCAATTTTATAAATAAAAGCAAACATTTATTATCGTTTACAATTACGAAAAAAGAACTATTATTTAATTATGATGAAATAAAAACAATAAGCGTTAATCACGCGAATTGAGCCTGATAAGGCCAAGTGCTGGACTTATTTTGTGGGCAAAATAATAAATCGAATCGTGTAGAACTGGTGAAAATTGTTTTCGTGCTCACATCCTGTTTTGAAAAACTAAACGTGCATTTTCTATTCGAGTCATTCTTATTGGCTGTTTCCCGTGATACCTGGGAGTGTGTGTGAAGTGTCTGTGTGAAAAAAAAAAAACGTAAACAATTTCTTTTTTTTAATCAAAATATTATGTTTATGTTGCATTATTATCAGTAATTGTGTTAGTGTAGTGTTATTGTTATGTTTAATAATGTGTTTTTGAAACTATGGATCTGAACGAAAGCTGCTACCCCCTGCTTTGAAGGTAAAAATAAAAACATCTATTTTTAATTCTTTACTCCATATTTTTCGCTTCAAACAAATGTTTGTCTGACTGATTTGAATATTTTACTGTTATTGTGACGTCATTTGGTTTCATTTACGGCGAGAATTTACTGAAGGAAAATGAAATTATATTGAAAAATTCTTTCACAAGATACAAGAAAAATATTACCTACTACTTTCTTAACAGTCCACTTTACTGCTTTCTTCTGCAAACTTTTTATGAATCTGTAAATGTAAAGCAATTTCACCTATTTATTGCAATTGCAAACTTATGCAATTCATATTGTTCATCCATTTTTGTATTTACCTAGATTTTATTCATAGCATAGGGTCTCCGATTAAATTCTCGGGTAGGGCATTTCTTATTTATTTATTAATTTATCATTCCATGTACACCGTATAGCGGACAATATTACAAAGAAAAACACATTACAAGCATGAGGTACATAGAGACTCCATATTCTTTAATGAATTTCTTGCTTAGCGGCAGTAGGAAGAGTAGAGTATCTAGATTCTATGCCTGGTATGTGACAAAATACATCCCTAAGGCCTAACCTAACCTCCCATCATATGGGACTCATTACATTACTGGTGAAATGTGAGTATTTCATTATATTTAACCTCTTGACTGCCGGTATATGACACAATAGAAAATGCATTGTGTCTCGCGTAGATCTACGTTCCGGCAAACGACGGGTTAATCCCCGAACGGGTAGACAGAGGTGCACATCACCTGTGTCTACCCCTTCAGGGATTAAACAACATAACATTCAAAAAAGTCAAAAGTCAATCATTTATTTGAATTAAACCATAGTTTGGTACTTTTGAAATGTCAACAAATACAAAATAAATAATAGTCTGTCGGTCAGTCCGTCAGTGACGCTAGGTAAATACAAAATGTAGATTCGAATGGAGAGGAACGAGCAAGAAACTCTATTCATTACTCTTTTTAAAAAAGTATGTTCTATACCTAATGCCTGCAAAGTATCTGATACATTGTGCATTTCATATTTTGATTATTTAAAATCAATATTAGAAGATAAGAATGCTTGACAGCATGTCAGTCCGGCTCCCCTGGACAGTCATTTATTGAACAATACATACTCAAACACAGTCAGTAGTTATGTAAAGAAGAATTAATTTATGTCCTGATTCCAATGAAATGTAAATATCTTATGGCAGGGCTGTCCAAACTAAGGCCCGCGGGTCGCATGTGACCCGCGATACACATTTTAATCTTAACACCTTCATCTTATGTGTTACAACAATAATAAAAGTCAGAGTATGATTTGTGTACAAGTTTTGTCTGTGAGTAAAGAATATAATGTTAAATGTCATTATACCACTGATAATATTTTTCTGGTTCTCCAGCTCTTGTAAGAAATTTAATTAGCCCGCGAGGGTATATAGTTTGAACATGTCACAGAGAACCTAACGGGTAACCAGGGCTCCGACTCGACGTGCAGGAGAAGGAACGGGGTAGTTTTTAGTCAGTACTTAAGAGTCTGACACTCCCTCTCGCCTCACCCAGGCGGGAGCAGTCAATCGATGATTTTCCCCCCTTAAAAAAAAAATAAAAAAAAATTGTTTGGACATCCCTGTCTTATGGCATCAAACACTTCTCCACTCTTGAATTTTAAATACTGAAGTTAAGATTCAACTTTAAAATATTCTGGTCACCGGGTTAAGTACTAAAGCTATTATTTAAAATAACTAAACATAATAGTCCAACAAATTGATGTCATAGCCGCGACAGCCAACTAACATTTAATGTGTAGTAGAAATGAATCCTCGGTTAAAAATAACTTATAGCTACTAAGTCATTAATGTTATGTGAGTTTATGCTCTCTGTGTTGTGGCTGGATGAAATTATTTCTTATTATTTGGTGTTGTTTATGGTATAGGTACTTACTTACTTAGATATTTGGTGATACAACTGCCTATAGTGAAACAATGCTTGTGTTGTGTCGTCATGTGAGTGATGCTACTGGAGTGGAGAGTGGCCCTATTAGACACCCCCCTCCCCCCCAAGCCTCCTCAATCTGTTCAATCCCTGAATTCCCCAAATTCCTAATCCCCAAAAGGCTGGTACCGCACTTGTAACGCCCATGGTGTTCATGGGCGACGCCGTTGCTTACCATCAAATGATCCATGTGGTCGTTTATCGGCTTATACCATAAGAAAGATGACCTAGTAAATGACTGAATGCCATAAGGCATTAACTTTTAATCCAGGCGGCTGCAGATGACATGCTCCTAAATGCACTTAAAAGTATTCTAAATAGGTTATGACCAACAGTGGTGGATTAGCCCAGTTTCTGTTTGTTTTCTATAGCAGATTGTGATAGTCAAAAGCTTCACAATTCATTGTCAATCAATCATATACAGAAGTGTAAATAGTCAAATAATATGAGTAATGCCTAAATAAATAGTACATGAGTTATTGGAGGCCCAATTACCCCCTCCACGATCCCCGTAACCCCAACAATCCTCAAATTCGTAACGAATCTGGTGTTTCTAGTGTCTATGGGGGGCGCCGATTGCTTACCATCAAATCGTTTACCGGCTTATTCCATAAAAAAAAATAACTACCTAACTGTTCCTCTTTTTTAACTCGTCGAGTACCGGTTTTGTAGACACAATTATAGAACAATAGGTTGCGGTCACCGGTGACCGCTTGGTGTTTGACAGTTTAATAGATGAATTCAAATAATCGCTCTTTACATGAAATCATTGCCAGTCACTGCCTACGCAGTGTCTATTTATCTATAGTTAAACTTAACATTCAATTTATAGTATTACAACAAGATTTCTAGTACCTAAGTCGAAAACTTTCGTTTTTCTTCCGTCTAATGAATGCATTCTAATTGAGTTTAGTGGAACACGCTGTAACTTGCAATTTTTTCGGAAAACATTGAGAATGTAGTCAGACAGAGACTCCACTTTGTAAATAAAGTCCATTCGTATTTTTTATAACTACCTAGAAATAGTTATTAAGGGAATGAGTCATTCCATCAGTCGGTTGTCTATCGTAAAAACTAATTACAAAATGATGCCTGCTATTTCCCAGAAACATTTAAGTATTTTAACTAACTGTTTATAATCATTGATAATTTGACAAACAATATTGTACCTACCTATAAAGAAGCGGAAAAAACGGTAATAACCAACCTCCAAGAATTACTATTTACAGTAACAAATAATTCATCTATAAACTATCTACGTTTAAAAAAACCGACTTCAATCCCCTCCTTTTTTGAAGTCGGTAAATTAACTCGTCGAGTAAGTACCGTCATTATAGACACAATTATAGAACAATAGGTTGCGGTCACCGGTGTCTTCGCGGTGTTTGACAGTCTAACTCGTCGAGTACCGGTTTTGTAGACACAATTATAGACCAATAGGTTGCGGTCACCGGTGACCGCTTGGGTGTTTGACAGTTTAATATAGATACTAAAACCTTCTCCTGAGTGAAACAAACTCTTCTGTAAACCGCGTCAAAATCGGCTCAACCAATCGCGGGATAGTCGCGCACAAACATACATATAACATTTGAAGTCAGTTAAAAGATATTCTATCAGCATTCCGACTCCATCCATTCATTACTCAAGCACTCGCGTTACATTTCACGGATGTTAATTAATTAAAATTGCAAAACAACTGTAGCATTAGCCCGTTGCTGTTACAATTAACAGTGCTTGCTAATTTTTGGGCAGCCAATGTATGGTTAGCGAGAGATAACCGTTGACCTGGTATTTCGGTAATTTCGGTGCGCGGTATTTGGGTAAAGAGATCGTGATGGTGG